TGTGTGTGTGTGTGTGTGTGTGTGTGTGGCCAGCTCAGCCCACCAGGGGGCGGGGCTGGCTGGCATGTGGTGTTGGGGATTAAACCGAGGTCCCTGTGCTTTGCTAAGTTTGTTCTAAGTAGGTGCTTTAGACCTCTGAGCCACCTCACCAGTCCCATGTGATTCTTTTTAAAACTGGTTTTTAAAGAGGAGGATCACTACAAGTCTAAGTAGTGAGACTCTGTACCAAATACATAAAATAATAATTCACAAAAGGGCTGGTGAGATAGCTCAACAGACTAAAATGCCTGCTTAGACAAGTTCAGGGGCGAAGTTTGATCCCAGCACCATATGCTGTGTCGGCCCCACCCCCAGGCACACTCAGCATGCCACCAAGACTGGGCACGGTGTTGCATGCCTATAATCCCAGTACTGGGAAGGCTGAAAACATGAGGATCACTATGAGTCTGGGTAGTGAGCCCCTGCGCCAAATGCATAAAAGATATATATTTTTTAAAACACTAGTTTTTGATAGATTGGGCTACTTCCTTGTGTAATCCAAAGAGGAAGTTTTGGGCAAAAACACTGGGCAACCCAAGCTATTTTCCTAAGAGTAGACACAGAATAGTGGCAGTTTCACGCATGCTGGATCATCACGGCACCACAAAACAAAGTCAGGAAGCAAGAAATAGCCACATAGCACAATTGGTATTGGTTAGCAAACATCAACTGTCTGTGACAAAATCCAGTAGTGGCACATGCCTGTAATCTCAGCATAAGAGAGATTGAGGCAGAAGAATCGTGAGTCTGAGGCCAGCCTGAATCACATGTCAAAATTTTGTCAAAAGACAAAACAAACCCATACCTAAGTATAAATAAATGTGAAGAAAAACCATAGATAATAAAAAAGAAAATAAACCCATTTTTACTGCTAATGACTGTTGTATAAATGTCACACTGTTGCTGGGCATAGTGGCACACACCCATAATCCCAGCACTCAGGAGACTGAGGCAAGAGGATTTCTGTGAGTTCAAGGTCAGCCTGGGCTACAAAGTGAGTTCAAAGCCAATCTGAACTATATATAGCAAAACCCTGTCTCAAAAAAAGTCACACTGTCCGATAACTGTTTTATTTACAGAAATTGGTAAAAATAAAAAATCCCATGTATTTAGGAAGCTATTCACAGCACAAAGCATGTTGATGTGCATGACTCAGTCAATTCCCCACATTTTTGCTTACCATGTCACCAACTTCATAAGCAGGAGGAGTGGTCATTTTTATATCCTCAATGTTGACTTGAGGTGAGTCCTCAATGGGGGGTTGTGGTGTAAGACTTCTGTTAGTCTGTATCTGGCTCTCAATTAACTTGATAATTGCATCCGCTCGCTCTTGTGGCATTGGCTTTCCATGCCAACTTTCTGTATCTTCCACATCTGAAACAAATGCAAAAAAAGTCATCCATTTCAACCCTTTAATGGGAGCCTATTATGTCCTCTGAGAAACATCTGTTACAAGAAGTGTTGGTCTGGGGCTCACAGGAGTAAGAACCTGACACAGAAGGCAGTCACAGAGAGCGGCCTGCACAGAGGCCTAGTGGCTTATCAGGAGGCCACTGGTCAATATGCTGGTGACTAGAGAGAAGGAGGGAGATGAGGCTGTACTGACAGGCAAAGGAGTCATGGAAACAGGGCTCATAAACACGATGAAGAGTTTGAGGTTTTTTTTTTTTCTTTTTGGCCAGCTCAACCTACCTTGAGGGCAGGGCTTGTGCAGCATATGGTGCTGGGGATTGGACTGTGGTCCCCTGTGCCTGTCTAAGCTTGCTTAAGCAGGTGCTTTAGACTGCTGAATTATCTTGCCGGCCCAAGTTTGAGTTTTATTTAGAGCAAGAGAAGCCACTGAGGGCTTAGAGCAGTTAAGTGAATGATGAGATGTTTTATAGAGAGATCACTGCAATGGCAGCATGGAGATCGGCTCAGAAGGAAAACAATGCAGTTTAGGGGGGCTGGGGAGATGGCTCAGTGGAATAAGCGCTTCCCTGGCAAGCGCAAGGGCCTGAGTTCAATCCTCAGTTCCGCAAAAAAAAAAAAAATGCAGTTTAGGAAAGGTGATGAGCTTAGTGACAGTCATGGCAGCAGAGATGGGGAGAAGGGGGCACATCTGACTACACTTAAAGGAACTGAGTATGTGGGGGTGGCAGGCACATAAGAGTGCCAGAGGCAAGAACATTGAGAGTTCTCCTAGGAACACATTGGTAATGTTGTTTTACTGAACTGAGACTGGGATAAGATGAGATAAGATCATAATTTAGGGAGGAGTTGAAATGTCTACATTAAAAACCAAAGAACCAGTTATGCTGGCACATGCCTGCAATCCCAGCACTTGGGAGGCTAAGGCAGGAGGACAGCCATGATTTCAAGGCCAGCTTGGGGTCCACAGGGAGTTCAAGGCCAACCTGAATTACATAGTGCAACCCAGTCTCAAAAAAGCAAAGCAAAGCAAAGCAATCCAGGAGTCATACCCTTTGCAAGTATTTAAACTTGAGGTGCACAACCTGAGACACAGCTTTGGGAGTATAAGAAATTAGTCTTTGGGCTGGTGAGATGGCTCAGTGGTCTAGGGCACCTACTTGGAACAAGCTTAGCAACGCACAGGGACCGCGGTTCAATCCCCCAGAGCCACATGCCAGCCAGCCCCGCCCCTTGGTGGGCTGAGCGGGCCACACACACACACACACACACACACACACAAATAAATAAAAAAAATTTAAAAAAAAAAAGAAATTAGTCTTAAATACTTTCTCCTTCAAAGCCCCAAAGACAATGCTTTACTAGTCCTGGGTGCTGTTCCAATTGACACCAGATTGTTTCAGCACTGTATGTGTACACCCTCATGCACAGGCCTGCTGACTGTACTGGGAGGGGAGGTTCCTGTTGGCTTCCTACCTAAGGCCTGTGTCCCTAGCTGCTCCCTCACACCACCAGAAAGTCACTATTCTCTTGCTTGGGGTGTGGCCTTCCCCTTCCCCATGACCAGACACTATCCAGGGAGGGTAAGAGGCAGGAGCCCTCACCTGTCAGGACGGCTGCTGTTCACAAAGGATGCCACCGACCCAGCTGGCCATACCTGAAGGCTGCATTGTTCAGCCATGCTGATGGAGGCCCTGGTACGCATGGATGGTGAGAAGGAAAACACTTACTTGGCATTCCTCGGCTTTTGAAGGTCTTGGCAACCACAGCAGTGGGCTTGCCCTTTACATGAGCTGCCTGCCAAAATACTTGGCACAGCGCCTCCACGTCACGACCATCTACCACGTAAGTGTTCCACCTGTCAACAAGGAGGCTGGGTTACCTGGGCACAGGGCAGGGTGAGAAGAAGGTAAAGCAATAGAGACACTTACCCAAAGGCTTCAAAGCGCTTCTGGTAGACCTCGACATAGTGCTCCAGGGGGAAGCTGCCACAGTGCCCCAGGCGGTTCACGTCAAAGATGGCCACAAGATTATCCAGACTGTAGTAGGCTGCAAAGGCCAGCGCCTCCCAAACAGAGCCTTCTGAGGACTCGCCATCTCCCAGGAGGCAGAACACCCGGTAGCTGCAAGCAAGCCAAGAAAAGGTGAGAGCTTTGGGAGTTCAGACTTGCTGGGCATGGTGGATCATGCCTGTAGTGCCAGCCACATGGGAGGCTAAGGCAGCACGATCAGTTTGAGCTCAGCCTGGCCCTCAAGAGATAGCATCTCCTCCAGCTTCAGCTGCCTCTGCTGCTTCTCTAGATGAGCAAGCAAAGGGACAAGACTAGAATGGGCAGCAGAAAGCAGCTCCCTGTAGTCCCCATGCTTCATGGCACATGTACTGCCTTAGTTTTCGCTTCAAAGCACTGCTACCTTCTATTTCTGATCTCTGTTTACAATAATCATAACCATCCAACATTGTACTTTAGAAGCGTATATGTTGTTTTAAACAGGAAACTCCTCCACAGCAGAAACAATGTGAGTATCTATACCAATCAAATATACCCCAGACCTTACTATGATGTCATCAGTCTAAGAAAGCATTATGTAAGATGCACTGTTTCCACAGACCTGTGGAAAAGGGGGCAAGGCGGCTGTCCAAGGAGTGCAAAAGGCACAAGAACTTTCAGCGAGCTCACCGCAGCTGGCATGGGGACTGACCCTCCCCTCAGGACTCTCCCTACCCAAAGGAGCTAGATGGTGCTCTAGATGGTGCTCCCCTGAGACTCTAGGAGAGAGGAGCTCCATGTCCTATGGCAACTGAACTGAGTGGCTCTAGACTCAGCACTGCACGAAGCACAGGTAGTGGGGACTCGTGGGATGAGACCAGGAAGGTCAGTCACCATGGTCCTGTTCCCACACTAGCAGCTGCTGAGCACAAGGCCCAAAAGAAAAACTGTCTGCTTTCAGGAAGGAGGAACCACCCAGAAAAAACCCTTGGCTCTTTTTTTTTTTTTAAACATTTATTTATTTATTTATTTATTTTGTGTGTGGCCAGCTCAGCCCACCAGGGGGCGGGGCTGGCTGGCATGTGGTGCTGGGGGATTGAACCGCGGTCCCTGTGCTTTGCTTAGCTTAGCTTGTTCTAAGTAGGTGCTTTAGACCACCGAGCCATCTCACCAGCCCCCGGCTCTTTTTTTCTTTGTGCAGAACCGGGGATTGAACTCAGGCCCTTGCGCTTGCCAGGGAAGCATTTATTCCACTAAGCCATCTCCCCAGCCCCACCCCTTTGTTCTTTAAGTTGTCAGAGCTTCCTACTCCAAAGACAAAGCACATGCATGCACCCCACCTATTTTCTAGCCATGCTCACCAGAGTGCAGGCAGAAGGCGGTCTCTTAGAGAAGCCTCATGTTTTACTACACTGGAGCCTCTAACAGAGAGGCAGGAAGAGTTTCTGCAAATCTGCTTTCTCTACTGCTTCATGCTTGGTGACTGAACTTCCCAAACCATGCACCCATCCTCCCCAGGGAGCGAGCTGCAGAGCCAGAGAGCAAGGGTGGGCAGTATAGCACCTTACCTGGCCCGGTCGAAGTACTTGCCAGTATATGCCATCCCACATGAGGCCCCCAGGCCTTGCCCAAGCCATCCTGTAGCCACATCAACAAATGACAGTCTCTGCAAGACACAAGGAATCCAAAGAACCCAAGCTACTTGTAGATGGACCCTGCAGCCCCTTGCACCCACTGTCCTTCAAGTCCCAGGCTAATGTCTAAGCAGACCCTAGGTTTAATCTGTGGCCCAGTATAGGCCGAGAGGGGTGACAAAGATGGAGAAGCCACCATCACTCATTCCCCAGGGAACCCTAGAACCCAGTGTATGAGGGCACCTGGAGCTTTTGAAACAGGAGGGAGCCTAGGTGCAAAGGAACACATGCAAACCTTTTCCTCAAGCCTATTTCCTGCAGGCCCAAACCAGATGTACAATCTTTTGGTAGTACTGGTTAAGGAGAAACCCCAAACCCCCAAGTCTGTGGCTTCCCTACTTTGTAAAGCTCTAGTCATCTGAGCTCTTGGGAGGGGTTCCCTGACATGCTAACACTATACAAGAATCAGTTTCTGTCACCTTGCTGTGCCCCTCTAATATCCAGTTTGTGCACTCCATGTCACTTGGTCCCATAAGCAATGTGGCCCTTGTGCTGAGAGTTGCTGCTTTGATGAGAGATGTCAGCTATGCCGTCTCAAGGGCTTCTATAGCCACTATCTCATATTGGCCACCAACATCCCTAGCCTCACTGCAGAGGCCACTGATCCCCTGCTTTCCCTGGCTACTACCCAGAGGCCTTTTCAATCCTAAGCCACTTGCACTGCTTTGCCATCTGCCCACCATTTTTCTACAACAGTCCCCTTTTCTATCCCTGGCTTTCTTGGATCTGCATAGGGGCACAGCTCCTACTTGTTCTGGGCTATTCTTTGTAACTCCTCCTCCCCCCACATAGCCTGTCAGACATAAGATCAATTTATTTCTGGTTTGTCCTCCTGTACCCTTCCTCTGCCCAAATATCAGATTCATTCCAACAGTGAGTGAGGCTGCCCTTCCATACAATTTCCCTGTGAAGTCCTTTCTCCCGCCACCCTGGCAGCCTTCCTCTCATGGTCCTTGCGCTCCCCTTTAGCCAGTTCCAGCTCCAGCTCCCTCACATGCCCTCCCTCTTTCTGAGGGAGGATGGAGACCAGTGTCCCCTGTGAAGACAGAGGAAGCAGGATGGGGTTGGCACTATGCCTGCCCTTGGTACCACGTGGGTGCTGTGGACAGCCAGAAGAGGATACTTCTGTCCAGAGGGGACTTCTCACTTTGTACCCATGCAAAGTTTGCTTCACAGCAAAGTTCAAACAGAGGCCTTGGGTATCTCCCAGGCCTGGGGGAGGGATGGGAGCTCACAGGCCCCTCTGTCCAAGCCATCTTCAGCAGCTGACAATGCCAAAGGATTTCAAGAATGACAGTTGCAGCACAGCCATGCCAAAGGCACCTGGACTCTTAGTGTACTCTGTGTCAGATGTGTTGATGACATGGCTGCGTGTGGACAGACCAAGCCTCAGGAGCACTGGTGGGGATATCAGACTACGTGCACCTGCAGGACAATCACTTACTCTAGCCCCAGGCCATGAGGGACTAGGATTTCTGCATGTGGCTTCTTCCCATCTTTTAGCTGCTGCTCCACCCAATGAACATGCATGAGAAAGCCTGTCACTTAAAGGTTTTTACTCCAATTGCTGCAGTCATGACACACTGTAAACTTTTGTCCCTTTTAAATCAGAAGCTACCCCCAAATACTCAATTTATATTTGAACATACTTTTTTTTCAATTTTTGTTATAAAGTTCAAGTTTACAGTAAGAAAGATTAGTCCAAAATCCCATACATGTTTCACCTTAAGTTACCATATCTTCCAACATACCTTTCTCCCTCTTATACTTTTTCTTTTAAATCAAACCATTAGCTTAGTCACTGAGACAAGGATCACAGTTTTGACCCCTAGGTACTTTTTTTTTTTTTTTTTTTTTTTTTCAGAACCGGGGATTGAACTCAGGCCCTTGCGCTTGCCAGGGAAGCGCATATTCCACTGAGCCATCTCCCCGGCCCGACCCCTAGGTACTTTCAACTTTATCTTTAAGATTTCCTGCTCAGGCATTTCTGTTTGTACATGATACCCTACTGGTAGGCTTTAAATTTTTTGTTTTAAGACACAGTGTACTTTTAGATAATATCAAACTTGCCACACATTCTAAGCCCCATTTTTCTAATGTTTAGAATCTCACTGACAGGGGCAGGCTGTCTTGTTCCAAGTCACACTTCACTTTCCCCATGCCCTGCAAGTGGGGTCGAAGGCTATCAGTGACCTCTCCCAAGGCTGCACAAGGGGTGGGAGCAGTAGGTCCCCAACAAAGGGGACATTAGTGTTAGGTGGGGTGAGGTAGGGTATCACCAAAGGAAAGGTAAGTTGGACAGCTGTCCCCAGCTAGCCTTCCTGCCCCAAATGTCACTTGCCTCTCAAGAACACCCATTAGATCTTTAGAATGCAAACAAAAAAGAACATAAATGGTAAGAAGGCCATTCCCAGCCTGTTAGCAGTGTGGCTTTAAAGTGGGCTTAAGAAGCAAGCAGCAGAGCCCCAGGGCCTGGCCAGCATACCTTGGAGAGAATGAAGCGGTCGTTGTCGGGGTGCTCCAGGTCTGACTGTTTGTATTTCATGGTGTAAAAGAACAGCACAGCCATGATCTCAGCAGCGCTGCTGCATGATGTCGGGTGGCTGAAAAGCAGAAGCAACCAAGTCATTTCTCCCAGGTCAATGACTCCTAGGGGTCATAAGCAACAGTCACACCTGGCTATTATCCTGCTTTGAGGTATGTATACTGAAAAAAAAAAGTAACATAGCGAGGAGACATTACTCTCATGTTCACCTTTATCGTGGCACTATTCACAATGGACAAGATGTGGTCAGCCTAGGAGTTCATCAACAGATAAATGAATATATATGAATATTAGTCAATCAAAATCTGGTTCAAGTTATAGTATAAAGCTATGGTGATTTAAGGGTCGGCCAAATAGCTCAGCAGACTAAAGCACCTGCTTAGGCAGATGTAGCAGCCAGGGTTTGATTCCCCAGTGTGCAGAGCTGGCCCTACCCCCAGGGCACGTTGAGATGGCGATTGAGACTGGGCATGGTGGCGTGCACCTGTAATACCAGCTCTTGGGAGACTGAACATAGGGACTCATTATGAATCTGATCTATATAGTGAGAGCCTGTAGACCCTGTACTAAAATACAAAAAAAGAAAAAGAAAACCTACAGTTATTTAAAAGAACAGACATGGATCAGTGGAACAGCATAAAGGTTGCAGAAACAGTCCCAGGGACGTTTAGCCAGAGGATCTTTGACAAAGGGGCCAAAGCACATATTGGAGGAAAGATCGCATCATGCAGAATTGTAAACTAGACTTATACCTCTTGCCATGTACTAAACTAAAATTAAAATGGATCAAAGATCTAAATGTTAGCTGGGTGTGGTGGCACATTCCTGTAATCCAAGAACTCTGGAGGTTGAGGCAGGAAGATTGTGGTGAGTTTGAGGCTGGTCTGGGCCACATAATTCAAGGCCAGCCTGGACTACACAGTAAGACACTATTTTTTTTTTAACATTTATTTAGTGTGTGTGTGTGTGTGTGTGTGTGTGTGTGTGGCCAGCTCAGCCCACCAGGGGCGCAGCTGGCTGGCATGTGGTGCTGGGGGATCGAACCACAGTCCCTGTGCTTTGCCAAGCTTGTTCCAAGTAGGTGCTTTAGACCACTGAGCCATCTCTCCAGCCCCAAGACACTATCTTAAAAAAAAACAAAACAAACAAAAAAAAATCTAAATGATAGAACATTAACATAACCCACTGGAATATAAAATAAGTAAAAACTCTTCAAGTCAAGCCTATACAAGTACTTTTTGAGCAGAACCATATAACTCCATCTGCAAAAGAAATAAGAACGAGAATGGACAATTGGGGCTCGGGAGACAGCTCAGTGGTCTAAGCACCTGCCTGGCAAGCGCGCAGACTCAAGTTCGATTCCCAGTACTATATGCTGTGCCAAGTCATACCGGCTATTGAAACTGTGTGTGGTGATGCACACCTATAATTCCAGCACCAGGGAGGCTGAGACAGGAGAACTGTCTGAGGTGCGCAGTGAGACCCTGTATCCAATAAATAAATAAATAAATAAATAAATGAAAAAATTAAATATGAACAATTGGAATATCAAAACTTAAAAGCTTCAGCACACCAAAGGAAACAATTAAAGAGGCAACCTATAGAATAGGAAAAAAATTTCAGAGAACTAATAATATTCAGGGAAAAAAAAACCCACTCAAGCCCCCTAAATAAAAGACCCAATCAAAAAATGGGCAACTTAAGTGAACTCTATGCAGAAATACAATGTTCAATATCTCTGGTTATTATTAAAGAGACACAAATCAAAACACCATTGAAATTGCATCTTCCTCTAGAAAAAATGGCTATTTCAAGAAGTTAATAAGTGTGGTGGCACAGGCTTGCAATGCCAGGACTCGAGAGGCTGAGGCTGGATGGCTGAGTTCGAGGCCAGCCTGGAGTCTGGACAGTGAGACCTGTCTCAAGGAAAAAGCATGGGTGCTCAGGCTCGGCGCATGCTGGGGGCTGGGAACAAAGATGTGGAGGCACGCAGCCAGGTCGCGAGCCTGTCTCAGATGCTGCCACCACCCCTCTCCCAAGGCCGTATGCACTGCTGATTCTCCTTACCAGCCACAGCACTTGGGCCACAGGTCTTGGAGACTGACATGAGGATTTATATACACAAAAGCTTTTTAAAAGACGTTAACAAAAAGAAATGAAATATTATGAAAGGAAAATGCCAAAATCAATGTAACAATTAAACTACAATGGATGTTGAGTTGCAATTTGCCACTCAACACAATACAACCAGAAAAGAACTTTTTGACCAGGTAGTAAGAACAGTACATTTGTGTGAGGTCTAATTTTTTTTGGGGGGGCAGTATGTTCATAGCAAAAATTATTCTACTTGGCTTAAGCTCAATAAAAAGGGTGACATAGCAAGATGTTAGAAAAAAAAAAAAACCATATAGTTCAAGTTTAGTTTTCCTTTCCTAAAGGTATTTCTGAGGAATTCAAGAAATGATACATCCATCTTGGAAGCAGAAATTGCAATTTTCTTGGCTGCTTATACTGCACAAGCTAAATTTGGAGATTATAATACAGAGATTCGTAAACCACGCTAAGATTTAGGTCCAGGTCATTCACATTAATAATTTCATTTCCCCCAGATAAAACCAGTGGGGAATGTAATGAGTCAACTCAAGTTTTAGATTATAAATGTAAATCTTATGCTTTCTGTTGTAAATGTATACTCACCACTGTTCTAAGTTGTTTAGTAAATAGTGGCTGTTACTTAAAAAAAAAAAATTTCATTTCCAGCTTTACACTACAGAAAGTCAGAACTTAGACCTCTTTCCCTGCAGTATCCCCTAAATGGTTGACTCAGTTTTATAAGCCATTATAAATTTCTGGAGAAGCACAAGCAAGAAAAAAAACCTGCCACACGTGCAGAGGACACAGGCTGGAGGACCCCATGCGGCACGATAGAGCCAGCCCGCAACACAGCAAGACCCTGTCCGAGACAAACTGACCACTACATGCTAAGCTCTCCCATGAGTACAGCCACCTAAAGCCATAACAAAATCCTAGCAAACACACTGGCCCACATGTGGGACTCGCCAACCGCCGAACCCTCACACCCAGCCACACTGCAGTCCAGTTTCCTCCCTTCCGTCCTCTTTCCGTGCC